AATACCGCCAGAAGAGAAGGCTGACATTTTCAGGAAAGAAAAAATGTATTTAAATAGGGAACAGAAATTCAATAAAGGGGAAATATCTGGAGGGGGAAAAATTATTTAGTACTCCAGCTGTTTTTATATCTGATAATTATGGTAATTTAATTTATAAATGTTTGAAAAGGAAATGGGAACATTGGATATTTCCAAGTTAGATATTTTTGCATTCTAAAGCAGAAGCCCCATGCAATGGACTTAAGAAAATAAATGTGCAGTCCATTTAAATAAAATATAGAAACAGCTAGAAAAAAAGATTAATAACCGAGTTATATAAACTATTATTAGAATTGAAGAAAGATACTGAAAGATAGGAAATCAGAAAGAAGCACTTGCAGATTGTATTGAAACTGAAGACAATCCCAAAGATAGGAACTTTTCTCAACCCTCTGGTCCCATCTATCTGTCTCTATCTTTGCTCCCTCTACAAGGAAAACTTCAGTTTCCCTGCCTTCATTTGCTTATTTTGAGTCACACTTTGCCCATCTACTCATCTCTAAATGTTGCCAAGTGGAACAAATTCTTAAGCAGAGTGAAACAATGTTATGGCTTCTTTTAAGATAAAGCTTTGAGGAAGAATCGATCCTGATATAATCTATACTTTGCACAACCAGAATTATAATGCAATTTTGAGGTTTCCTAAGTCATATCAGCATTCTTTTGATTTTGCTAAATTTTAGATGACCCTGTTAACCTACAGACCACAGGTTTTCTGACATTAGCTATTTAGAGATTTCTATTTGTAAGAGTCTCCTTCTCTATTGATTAGTTCTTAAAACAAGGAAAGATATAAGCCTAAGTCTGCACAAGTTTTTCTGCTGACCTTTTTCCAGTCCCCTATAACAATCTTCTCCTTTGTTTCCACTAAAAATGCATTCTAATATAACTGAGTTCTATCCATCCATGCACTCACTCTAATGTAACTGTGTTCTATCTGTCCATGTACTCTAATGTAACTATGTTCTAATTCATAATGATTTTCTGTAACTATGTATGTGTCATTCTGTTTGTTGATCTGCCCACTTTTAAGACTGCAATATTGAGTTTATGGCTTTTTGTTTGTTACTGTTTTTCCTTTCTGTCTAACCCCTTTAAACTGGTTACAAGTAAGTGCTCACATAAACTTAACCCAATTTCCTTCTAATTTATAAGATGAGGCTGGAGACCAGGATTTGATTCCCAGCACCCATATGGCAGGTCACAACCAGGTACAACTCCATTTCTGAGAAATCCAGTGCCCACTTCTGTTGTACAGACATACAGGCAGTCCAAACACCCACACACATTAAAGGATAAATAATAATTCATGAGACTTACATAAATCTTAGAAAAATGCTTCTAGAACTGTTCAAATGTTTTCTCTCAGTTATTACTTTCCATATTTAAGATAAAATATCCATATCACCTACATTTCAAATATAGCTTCACTAAAATATGGTAACTGAACATAGCAATTACTATAGCTAGAATTATTGTAATTGTACTAAACCACATCTTTTGACATATTCTGCAACAAAAAAAATTGTAATAAGCATATTTCACAGTGTTTTCCCAACACTAAGCACAATTGCTGCATAAAAAGTACTCAGTAATTGTTTACCAAAGAGACCTAACAGTCTACGTGAAGTGTGAACCATCAAGTTGAAGTTAAACCATGACTTAGAGAAAATGCTTTGGAACTGAATTGAAATAAAGCTAAATTTGGATCCTGAGTTTAGATCCCAAAACACATACTGGGCAGTTCACAGTCTCCTGTATGTAATTCATGCTTCGGGAGAGCCCACTTCCTCTTCTGACCTTTGAGATTACCCCCACTGTATCAGACCACTCAGCCAGGATGCCCCTCATCTCAGCATCTTGGCAGCCCATGTTCATCAGCACTCAGTAGAGTTATCCTGGAGAACACACCGAAGTCAAGTCAGTCGTGATGTGTGAGGTCTGTCTCCTGCTCTGTCTCCTTTCCCTCTCCTAATAAAACCAGCCTCCTCACGTCACTCAGCTTCCCAGCATTACTGTCATCTACTCTACCTCACAGTAATCATGGAGAATCCTAAAGGTTCAGCAATAACCTCACATACTTCTGTTTATATTTTATCTACAGGTGCAACTATTGCTTCTTATAGATTTAAATGTGATTTTTTAGATCATTTTTAAAATTAACTTCCAGATTTATCTGTCAACCTCCCACATCTAATTCTTTTGATTGCCATCTCCACTGGGCTATTTCATGGACCCTGTTAACTGTTGAAAATGAACTTGTTCTCTTTCCCAGGCAATTCCAAAAGCCATCATCATCAGGTTCTCTTATCTTATTACCATTATATATTCAACTACCTAGTCCAGGAACCTAGGGATGACTCTCCTCTTAGTTAGTGCCCATCCCTCAAATGCACACTGTGTTCTCTTTCCATGTTGGCCTTCTATTATCTACTCTCCTTTCTATTATTATACTAAGGACCTATTAGAATGTTAGCTCCATGGAAGGAAGGATTTGCTCTGTCTTCTACTCTATTCCTGTATCTGCCACCCAATATTGCACACATTGAAATAAATATCTGTAAACTAAACACTTTCTTCATCACAACTCATCTTCTTCCAGTCATTCCTTTTACCCCAATGAAATCAAAACACAAAGCACATCCTATTATCCTTTCACTTTAAATCTGCTGTAGTCACTAAAATGCTTTCTGATCTGATCCATGCTTGCCCCCTCTTATTTAGTGCGTTCTGAACACACACAGCTTTCGCCTATGAATGACCCTTACTTTAAACTCATTTCTTCTGGTCTTTACATGTCCCTTTCAGGCCCTACTTTACTTTAATGTCTGGGTACTCTTTTCTAGGACTAACTTCCTAAATTTAGTGTCCAGCATCATCCCTTGGCCAGTCAGCTGTCACGGTAGCCTGTTCATTCCTGTTCACTGCTGCCCTTGCTTCCTCCCCGCTGCTGTAACATAACATCCAACAAATGCAGCATGAAGGAGAAACAGCTCTTCTTAGCTCATCGTTTGAGGTACAATACACCACAGTTAGGAAGTCAAGGCAGTGGGAACCAAGCAGTTGCTCAAACTGCATCCACAGTCAAAAAGACATCAATATGTGCATTTCTCCATCTTACATCCCGTACCCAGAAAATGGCCCCTTCCACAATTAAATACAAGGGCTAAGGACATAGGTCAATGAACATTTTAAGTTAAAAAAAAATATTATTCTGAACTACTCAGAGTCATGTAGTAAAAGAAATTCCCCCAAATGAATGTTTTCCACCCATCAGATTTACATTTTGAAAAGGAAGAAGTGTAGAAAGACAAGAAAATTGCAATATGAAGCTTTAGCAAGTGTGAAACTGATAAGGCACACTATCAAAAGGTGGTACAGTATTTTTTTTCCAATGATAAGTGTAAGCAGTAAAAGTTGTATTAAAGAGGACCAAAAAAAAAAAAAAAACAAAAAACAAAAAACCCAGTAGCTCCCCACATCTTCATAATCGCTCACTGCTCTGTGGTCAGAACTGAAGAGACGCTGTGCCACACTGCAGGGAAGCTGACAGCACAGAAAGCAAGGAGACAGCAGCACTGCCGCCTTCAAGAGGCTGAGGATGGTTCAGTGATGCTTGGCATGCTCTAAGACCTAACCTTCCTCCTAAAGTATTATGGCCACGAGAAACGGGCCTAGCCTACAGACATAGGAGACACAGCATGTAAAACCATTGCCAAGCCAGTTAGAAAGCTGGGCACTACGGTACTGTAGCGCTTCTGCAATGAATTCCCCAGCTGCTTCAGGCCTAGCATAAATAATAAGAAGCTAATTGCATTTATCACACTGGAGCTGCTACTATTATGATTGGGCCTAGTTTAATTAATGTGAATAACTGGGCTCTTGTTGCTCTTCCAGAGGAGCTAAATGTGATTCTCAGCACCCCATGGCAGCTCACAACCATCTGAAACTTCAGTTGCATGGTATCTGGTACCCTCTTCTGACCTCTACAGGCACCAGGTGCAAATGAGGTGCACAGACAGCCATGCAGGCAAAACACCCGCACATATAAAAAACATAAAAACAAATAAGTAAATAAATAAATGGGTCATGTACACCCTTAAAAAAATAAAAAGAAGGGGCTGGAGAGATGGCTTCAGTGATTAATCCCAGCACACAGGAGACAGAGGTAGACAGATATCAGTGAATTCGAGGCCAGCCTGGTGTACAAAGAGAGTTCCAAGACAGCCAGGTTAAACAGTGAAACCCTTTCTTGAGGGAGGGAGGGACAGAGGGAGGAAGGGAGGGAAATTAAAGAAAACTGGCAGTTCTTTCAAATTGCATTTTTCAATTCCCAGCATCCACATGGTGGCTCACAGCTATATTTAACTCCAGTATCAGGGGATTTGACACCCTCTGAGGGTACCAGACACACAAAAGTGGTGCACATACATGCAGGCAAAAGACCTATATACATAAAATGGTAACTATTATTATTATCTTATTGTTATATAATAATAATAATAATAATAATAATAATAATAATAATAATAATGACTTCAAAAGAAAACAGGAGGAAAATACAAAGAGGGAGAAAAAAGATGGATACACACACACCAAAATTACCAACACACTTTAATGAATGGAACTGGCAGACAGTTGTACTGACAATTCTGAAGCTTTACTGTAACATACTCATTAAACTAACATTGAACTTACCAATTAAGTGTGATCAACTTGAAGCAAGATGGCTCCTCCTATGCTGAGGCATCCTCACATAGCTGTGGAATAAAACTTGCCTTTGCTATTTAAAAGCCATTCCTTTTTGTTTGTTTGTTTGTTTGTTTACTAAATAGGGAGTCTAAGAGGAAGGCAGCAAGCAGGGTTAGAAAGAAAAGGAAGAGGAGGACACGGAGGAAGAACAAACAGCAGACAGGGAGGATGAGATCTTGGCATGCACTCCTGCAGACGGGGGCTCTGACCTGCAGCTGCTGGGAGCTGTCACTCAGACTGTCCTCCCGTCTCCGGGCCTCCTCGAGCATCTGCGCACTCTTCTTCTTCTCCACCTGCTCCTTGTGCTTCAGATTTGCAACCTTCTTATTCTGGTCTTTCACTTGCCTGTTGATGGAGAAAGGGAGACAAAGCTTTCATGCATACACAGAAGGTAGATGTCTATTTACATGCCTTACCTGACAGAGAGTATCTGGATAGCAAATTCTTTTGAACAATTCTATTTTTCTTCACTGTATACCAGCATAGGTAACAAACTATATGCAATAATGCTGCAGTTTTCTAATGGAAATGTATTTTTGTGCACACAATGAAATTACAGAATAAAAGAAAGGCACAGGAGGGTGTGAAATGATAAAGTAACCAAATTCAAGTCTCGGGCCTGAAACACGGAAGCATTGAACCTCTGGCCTCTCCTGTTTCTCCCACTATCATTGTTTAGGGCATCTTTTTCTTAATGGCAGATCTCTTATACATTGTCTAAATATATTCTCCCAAACTGTGAGCTATTTCTTTAACGGTTTTATGTAACATTTGTATTTACAGAATTTAAAATTCATGCTTTCTGATTTCAAACTGTATTGCAAATTTACAGAAACAAAAATATTAAGATGTTCATAGTATATAAGCATAAATAGCCATCATTAGAACAGAATAGACGGCATACAAAGAAGTCCTTGCACTTTGAACCAATTAACTTGAACAAAGGTGCTAGAACACACAGTGAGGAAAGACTAGTTTCTTAATGAACAATGCTAAGAAACGGAATCTATATGAAGAACAATGGTTTGGACTCGTATTTTCATATCATATACAAAAGAATAAACAAAAGATATTAAAGATTTAAATGAACTGAAAACTGTCAAACTACCAGAACATAACATAAAGAAAAGAATTCCTTCACAATAAGCAATTCATTTTTGTGCTAAAAGTACTCACTACAAAGCAAAGAGATTTTATCAAACCAAAAAACAAAAGAAAACAAAACAAAGGTACATGTCAAACAACAGAAATAAAGAGAATCCCACAGACAAAAATGGAAGAAAATACTTGCAAATCAGAAAATAAACCTGAAGTTAATATACAAATTTAAGCCGGGCGTTGGTGGCACACGCCTTTAGTCCCAGCACTCGGGAGGCAGAGGCAGGTGGATCTCTGTGAGTTCAAGGCCAAGCCTGGTCTACAGAGCAAGTGCCAAGATAGGCTCCAAAGCTACGTAGAGAAACCCTGTCTCGAAAAACCAAAATAAATAAATAAATAAATAAATAAATAAATTTGAGAAAAGAAAATTAAGAATAGGAAAAAATGTTGGTCAACAGCACACACAGTACCAGCTATATGGAGTCTGAAGTCTAAAAGTCACATGAGCCCAGGATTACAAGACCAGGTCAAACAAGACACAAACAGATCCATTTCAAAGAAGGTAGGGTTTTGTGGTGATGGAAGAGCAAAAGACTTGACATTTTACACAACAAAATGTAAAATACCAACTTTTATATGGGCAAAGTGTTCAATAGACAAAGAAATAACTACATATGAAAACATTCAACATGACAAGGAAATGTAAATCAAACCTATAAAATAACAAAAACATATCCTTCCTATCTACCTACTGACCTACCGACCTATCTATCTATCTATCTATCTATCTATCTATCTATCTATCTATCTATCTATCTATGTTTTTTGAGACAGGTTTTCTGTGTAGCCTTGGCTGCCGTGGAACTTGCTCTATAGACCAGGTTGGCCTTGAACTCACAGAGTTCAACTTGCCTCTGCCTCCCAAGTGCTAGAATGAGAGCCATGTATCACTACTGCCCAGCAATGCATCATCTCTTATAATGACTATAATAAAAAAGAAACAGATAGCAACTGTTCATAAGGATGTAGACAAAAAAGAATCCTGGTACAGTGAAATAACCATTATGAAAATTGTATGGCCATTCCTCAAAAACTTGAAATCAATGCTATACGTGGTGGCACACACCTGAAATTCCAGCACCCCAGAAGCTGTAAAAGAAGAAGGAATCACAAGTTTGAGACCAACCTGGCTTATACAATGAATTTCAGGTCAGTTTCTACTATATAGTAAGACCCTGTCTTAAAAACAAACCCAGACAAAAACAACAAACCAATATATCCTTTATGAAAAAAACTGTGCAGGTCTGTAGTCCCAGGCTGAGCTGGGAGGGTCACAATTCAGAGCCTGCCTGCCTACAGTGAGTTCAAGGGCAGCAAGGACATCTTAGAGAAACTCTGCTTCAAAAAGAAAAAAAAAAAAAAAAAAAGTAGGCCCATCAACATGCCATCATGGGTAGGAGAGAAGATCACAGGGACCCACCCTCCACAGAACTGTGATTAGTTAGTGTTTGCTGAGGAAAAGGGAGTCAAGAGGAAATGGTGAATTAATGACATTGACAACAAAATAAAAATTTGTCCTGTGATAGAATCTACACCATGGGAAGGTGGTAACAGAACTTCACTTTGTCATCTGAAGTATTTACAGGTGTCTGCTATAGACAACACAATAAAAATATTATCATCAGAGGAAATAAAATAAAATTTAATTTTCCAACTTCATACTTTTGTTTTAGTATTTCAAAAATGTAGCATTCTATCAATTAATAGAAGAAGAAAACAAAACAAATTAGGAATTATTAGAAGAGTCAAAGACATGAAAAAAATTCTGTTTTCATGAATTTACTTATTTTCAAAATTGTTCTTATACTTTTCATATACTATATGCATAAATTCCTTTCACCTTGTATCTGAGAGTTATTCCAGATGGTGCTGGCAACCAGTGATGTCTGTTTTGCAAGCCCTGGTAATCGGAGGCATTGTGACACACTAAGTAAGGAAGCCACTTAAAACCACTGGATTGACTTTCAGTTAAAAGCATGTATTACAGGCTAACCATTTGATCCAATGAAGGCAATTGTACTTTTCAGCACTTTTTAAATTCATAATTATATCTTAAAGTTAAAAAAATTAAATTTACTCCTTACAACATAGAACTAGGTCACAGTTTTAAATTTTATTTCAGAAAAGAATTTAAGAAATCCATTGCTTAAAATCTACTTTACCCTATATCCGATTTGTGTGTCTTTTTAAAATTCACATTTTGATTTTCAAAATGCTAGACATAACAAATGACTGGCCTTCATTAATTCTAAAAACTTTAATAAAATTCTGGCAACACAGAGCATGCACCAAACATGACTTCATATTCACACAGGAGAACTTTTAAAACATCAAGGTGTCTTTGCTTTTGGCTCTTTGAGTTTCTTTTTCTTGATCTTCTAGACATGTTACTTTTAACTTCTTGTTGAAGATGAGATAGCTGCCTTCTTAGTTAGAATGTGTCCACACCTCCACGTGGCTCCCTATTTTCATTCTCAATATCCTTTGTTCATTTTAGCTTGTGACTATTACTGTCAGATTCTAAAGACTAAGAATAACCATCACCAGGCCTTTCTCTCCATTGACTTTTCCTGACTTGTCTTGTGTGTATGAGGAATGTGGGCATGGATATATGCAGAGTATACACACAAAGTTACTACAACTGAGGAGAGCACAGTGAATATCTTACCTCACTAAATACCATTTTCTATATTAAGTACATAAAAAGAAATACCATCAAAATATTTTAGTAAAATAGAAGGTATTCTAGGAATCCCTTTCTTCTACTCTCTCTCTACCAGCATATGTTTTCATGAGAATAGTATTTAAACAAAGCAGCATGGATTTCAACAGAGTTTGAGATTTGCATTTACATGGCTACAAAGAACTTTTTTCCTCCTTTATGTTTACTGGCCAGCCGAAGTAATTCTTTGAGAACAGTTTAATTCATTTACCCACTTATGAACTCGATTGGTTTGGAGTACTTAAACTTTTTAATTCTTTACAGATGCTAAATATTAACCTCTCCTAGCTACATCTCTGGCAGTTTTCCTCCTGTTGGTAGCAGTCTTTTCCTCCTGTAGATTGCTTCCTTTGCTGTGAGCTTTGGAATTCTGTCCAGCCCCACCTCTCAATTCTTGCTGTTACTTCATGAGCTCCCTTTTCCTCTTCAAAAAATCCCTGCCCATTCTTACATCTGGAACTGTTTTTCCTACACTGTCCCTAGCATTTTGGAAGTTTGCTTTCTTTTATTAAGGTCTTTGATCTACTGTGAGTTGATTTTTGTGTATAGGGAAAAGTACAGATTAATTTCAATTTTCTACTTTTGAGCACTCTGTTTTCCACCACAATTTGCATAGAAGCTATCTTTCCTAAAATGTGAGTTTTCTCTGACAGAACTCAGGTGGCTGTCCGTGGTTCTGTTTGGGGACCTCTCTTCTAGTCTACTGGTCCCCAGGTATGATTTGTGCAGCCTTAACTCTACAGTGTAACTTTAAATCAAGTATTGTGATACTTCTAGCACTGCTCTTTTACCTCAGAATTATTTTGACTATTCAGTCTTTTGTGGTCCCATATAAATTTGGGGATGGTTTGTTCTGTTTACATGAAGAATGTCACTAGAATTTTGATGGAAACTACATGAAAATTGCAGGTTTGCTTTTGGTGTAATAATTATCTTTACAATATTAATTATGCCAGTCTTTTCACCTTAATCTTCTACTGTCTGTCTGTCTTTCTTTCTTTCTTTCTTTCTTTCTTTCTTTCTTTCTTTCTTTCCTGTTCAGTTTGTTTTGTTTTTTTTGTTTTTTGAGACAGGGTTTCTCTATGTAATCCTGACTGTCCTGGAATTAATTCTGTAGACCAGGCTAACCTTGAACTCAGAGATCTGCCTGCTTCCCAAGTGCTGGGATTAAAAGAGTGTGCCACCACCACCCGGCTCACGGTTCAGTTTTTATTGTGCAGGTATTTCACTTAGGTAACCTAAGTTCTTTGTTTTGTTTTAAGGCTATCATGAGTAGGCTTGCTTTCCTGATTTCTAAGTGTCTTCATCAATAGTAGAGATAAGCTTGTTTTTCTTGTATTGACTGTGAATCCTGCTACATTACTCCAAGTGTTTAATGGAATCTCAGAGTTTGGGTTTGACTATTTAGAGTCATGTTATCTGCAAAGAAAGATAGTTTGAGGTCTTCCTTCCCTTGCTCTAGGTA